AATAATCGCTTTTCAAAGGGCTGGAAATATAGACACGTGTTAACTCCCCAAAATGGTGACAAAACTCTCTAAAAAAAGTTTCTACTCGAATTAAATCTGTTCCATTTTTGCTCTCTGTAGTGGCTGTCCCTTCCTCCTGCAGTAGCGCCCGTCAAGTGTTCTGTACTTCCGCTCAGCAAGAACAAAGAATTTAGTCAGTTTGTCAAGAAGCTGTGTAAGTAGTTTACTTTAATGATTTTGAATCGGACTTATACTGTGGACAGTCCACCTCTTTTTTTGCTTCTTTTACGCCTAAATAATTCTCCATCACGCAGAAGGCAGCCTAGACTGGAAAGGCTGGAGCGAAGAAAGCAATAGGGACTATGTTAATTTGTTAACCCTTTGCGTGGAAATTTAAGAAGTTTCGGAGTTTTTATTTTAGCCAAATGTTGTGGTTCAATTAAAAAGTTTGACACACATTTTCTACGGATTTTGAATTTAGCCTCTTTTTTTGTGAATGGACTTTTTTACAAGTTTGTCTTTCTCACTTTCATCTCCTTTTTTCACTTTTTTCCTCGCTCCAAGCCTCTCAAGATCTTACAAATCCAACATGGCGGCTTCAACATATCAGCAAAAATTATTTTTCGCGCTCGCTCGCCAAAAAATAGGCCCGTTATGCAGATAGCACAAACGAGCTCGTTCCAAGGGCTGTTTCTCGCCCTTACCCAAAGTATTAGAGAAAAGCCTAGAGGATGAGGCTGGCTGCGCACACAGTTGAAACCCAGCACGACTCAATTAATGGCGATGCAATACAACCCCAGCAGGAATTTCGAACCATTGAATCACCGTACCTAAATGTTTTGTGAAGTTATAGACGTTTATTTTTAAGCTAAAACTGTCGGTTTACTTGTTGTTTTAATTATGCTTTGTAGCGGAGTCTCTTACTGAGCTGGACATCTCTCACAAAGTGGATGACTCCAGCGGATCAATCGGTCGGCGTTACGCTCGAACCGACGAGATAGCCATTCCATTCGGTATCACTGTGGACTTTGATACAGTGAACAAGGAACCTCACAGTGCTACGCTAAGAGAGAGGAACTCTACACGCCAAATACGGGCGCAGGTGAGAGATGTACCACCGCCACAAAAAGGGCGATAGGGAACGTAAGCGTAACACACAGATGGGGATTTAGACCTTACTTCTCACCTCCCAGAAATGCTGATTAAAATGTGATCCGCCGTATAAACCTGGAAGAACACCAATAAACTGTGTTAAGAAAAAGAACAACATTTTTAACCTAAAACAAATCCTAAATAACATCCCCAAAAGATGAAAATATTTCTGGTTTTACTATCAAACAAAATATTTTCTGTTATTTCTTAGATTGACGAGTTACCCACTATTGTCAGCAACCTTGTCCGTGGAAAGGTCACGTGGTCAGTAATAGAGGCACAATATGGTCTGTTCGAAGGGCAGGAGACTGGTGCCAAGTAGGCGATTCACTAAGCAGCCCCTGCAGATTATACGAATTTGAAAACAGCCGAGGAAATTGAGTGATCCTACTACAACCTGCTCTAAAGCTAGTTGCGAGGCAATACTGCTGAAAAGCATGCACTCGATTTGTTACGTTTTTCGCGATTGTAGCAACACAGGCGTGGAAAGATAATAAAATATTTAAATGCTATGCGATTGGATTTTATCATTTCAGTTAGTACATTGCTCTCCTTGAGGGGTGCGCTGGTTACGAATACAAAATAAACTAAGAGAAAAAAGAAAAGAGATGGAGAGGGTGTGGCGCGAGTCTTTTGGATCAGTCACAAGGCGAAGTAAGGAATAACCCAAACAATCCCCGGATTACGTCCGACATCAAATTGTAAATTTCTCTATTTTCGGAGGTTAGTCTCCTAGCTTAATATTTTCTTGGAAAAAGCGTCATTCCATGTAAATAGCAGGAGTAAAGATCACTGATTTATTGACCATGCGAGCGTAGGCATCGTTTCCATCACAACAAAAATATTCAGGGGAAAGCGGGGGAAATCGGTCGTCGCCAACAGAGAATGAAGAGAGGAGGACGAGAGAAAATAGACTACCACTTGGCTGCCAATGAGGGGAGGAGGGATTATAAGAATATTACAGAATCTGAGGGGGGGGAGGGGGGATCATGAAAATTTTATCGTGATAAAACCGAAATCTTCCTACCCCTCCCCTCCTCTCCTTCTTGGTCTCTGGTACCTATTTATATTTCCAGGGTTGAGAAAGGCTCTGCTATCGCTCTGACGAAGGGCTAACGCTCGAAACGTCAGCTTTTTTACCCTTTACGGTGGCTAATTTACGTTTTCAACCCAGTTGTTAACACTAAATTAGCTACTATACTCTCCCACCGACGCAGCACCACAGTTTCTTTAGAAACTTACCCCTTTCTGCAAGAGTCTGTTGTCTTGCCTGGGAAACAAGGTTTCAAGTTACAAATAGAATATTTCTTGAACTACATTTCTTTGCAGCCAACAAAAAGTATCCCTCAATAATTTGAATTTCGCCAAACCTTGTCCCGTTTTCCAGTCATCATCATGTTGTGTTGGTTGAAATCATTCTACCTTTGCCTCTCACTAACTTGACTGAGAGATTCTGCACAAAATAAATGAAAATTTAAGATGAAAAATGGCAAATATGTGGTAATTGCTATGTTCAGTAACTTTTCATAATCAAAAGACATTGATCTTCTTTTAGCCTCGCGCACTTATTGTTGGTTCTTTGAAATGGTCAGGTCCGTTTAGTCGGAAAGACAACAGAAAGAATTCGGCGCAACCTAACCGTTTGTGGTGCGCGCGCTGTAAAGAAATAAACTGAAAACCATGCGCACAGCTACCATAGCAACTAAAAATATTTGTTTTGCGAAAAGCGTTTAGAAGTATTTTTCATGGGAATGTGCTTTTCGAAAAGTTCAAATGTCATTATTCGAAAGATTTAGCGATGAAAACTGAGAGATTCCTTCAAAAAGCGTAAATCGGTTGACGTGAAGACTCAGGTTGAAAAAGTTGTTCCTATCATTAAGCCCAAAAAGTCATTACTCGTTAGTAAGACAAAAATGTTTTTAAAGGAAGGAAATACCTCACCTTCCAGTTTAGCACTGTCTATAACCGTTTGAGAACAAAAATAAAAGTGGAAACGCTATTAGCGCAGCCACCCACTTCATCTCCGATTTGTCTCCAAACTATTTTTCCTCCATCACGAAATTGGGAAACTTGCGCTTGGCGCGAGTGAACGAGTGAAGTAAGAAATGACGTCACAATGATTTCTTATGACGCAGGTCGCGCGTCAGCCTCGCATGATGGTCGCTAAACTCGGTCCCATGCCCGACTTTAGAGAGTTCCATAGCGGAACGAAAACCTTATTTAGAAATTGGATCACTACTCTGCATTAAAACGTGAATTCATTCGCCACCCACATGGCCTCTGTGCCTCTGTGTTTTTTTTCTTTTTTCTTGTTTTAAAACCAACACTCGCAATCTCAGCTTTTCAAAATCAATAGTTAATACGTTAGGAATAGACCTAAACTTGGATCGATTGCGGAAGAGTGGAGACAAATAGCTGATAAACCTCTGAGGTTCCATAATGAGGAAAGTCCCGAAAAGATTTTTGATATAGTACGAGTAATTAAAATCCCATTATGACACGAATTTCCCTCAAAATTGATGATCGGACCGATTTTATTCACTACGTGTCGCGATCTCGCGGACAGGCGAGCTACCTTTGCAGGAGTATAAAGATGAATGAGGAACATATATTATAATTTGCTCCTTTAATTCTCCGTAGGCCTGTTGGTCTAGTGGCATGATTCTCGCTTAGGGTGCGAGAGGTCCCGGGTTCAACTCCCGGACAGGCCCCTTTTTCTTTCTTTTTACATAATAGTCTTTTTCTCTTGTCAAGGTTCAATCTTTTTTGTTTCTCCCTCACTTTGCACGATTTAAAGCTCTTGTTTGCGTTCGATCAGATGGAATACCTAACGCCGATCGCTTTAGAATAAACCGAACGCAATCATGGTTATGAAAACTAAAACTTGTTAATCGAACAGAAATTTCTCAACTCTGGTCGCTAAGTATCTAAGCTCTAGTTAAGGATAATAATTTAATGGAACTTTTAGAGCGATTGTGTATAAATAAATATGTGATTTTATTTTTCATTTACCACGGAGAAAAAAAACGATCCTCGTGGTCATGTTCAAGGGCAACCTATTAGGGACAACAGGTGGAGGTTGATACTGACAAAAAAGCATTGTAAAAAGTTGTGAAATTTGAAATTTCTCGAAAAAAAAGCGTGGAGATCGAGTGAGGAAGAGAGGATCGGAACGTCCGTTCTGTTCGCTCTAACCACCCCTCTCCCACTCTGGCATTGCCTTCGCCCAACACTACGAAAAGCCCGGCTACCCAGCTAGTAGTTTTCGCGCCACACATCGCGTAGGTAAGTTACGAATTAATTTGTTTCCTTACTTTTGTTTTTGAGTGGGTAAACGTTACAAAAACTCTACGTTACGTTTGTAGAAGTATTTCAAACACCATAATTCTCCCATTTGTCAGTAGTGATACTCACTTATCCAAACATCTGAGCTGCTTTGTTTAGCATGAAACACCTATTAATTCCTGGCTTGTTTGATCGCTCTTTTTTATTATACATATTTTTTTATTTATCATTTATTTATTTTTCATAAGAGAGAGTGATTGTCTTGGTTTCCACAAGCATTTCATCAACACGTGCAATTTCCAGCCCAAAGTTAGGGACAAAGTTGACGTGATCAGTAGTTGTCATGGTTTTTTATGTCTTCTTGATATCAGTCTGCAAAGGGGCAGAATCGAATTAAAACTATGAATAAACATCATGATTGATTATTTTGAACTTTTAGTTTTTGAGGTTCCATTCTGAAAAAAATTAGAAGTGATGATAGAATTATGGTTGCCATTAGTCAAACTCTAGCACTGGAAGTAAACTGAAATTTTTTCAAATCTTTTGGCTTGTTGCTGAAGTTCAAGTCTGATATTGTTTAGCCTGAAATAGACTTATCCTGCACATTGTCAGATTTTGACATGTCATTTGTTTTACATAAACATTTTTTCTAAATTATGTAGATTACAAAACCTTGTGGGCCTAGGCAACAATCGTGTTACTAAACCCTTAAATTCTGTCATGTCAATTTTAAAACTCAAATTACTTACTAGAGGCTCAGAAGTTTTATTCTTCATTTTAGGTTTGACAAGTTATTTGTCTCATATAAACAATTTAATTTCAGGTGCAGTTGAATTAATCCTAGAGATACATCAAAAACCTGGAATTTGTCCTCTGGTAGAATGTTTCAACAATGTATTGTCCTTGGTATATTTTAGAGATAGGAGGCACACCTTTATTATAAGTAACTTAAATTTTAACCTTTTAAATCCTATGAATAGTCAAGACAATTTCTCTTTACAATATCAATACAATATCAAGCAGACAATAAAACAAGAATAAAGAAAAATGTCAATTATGATTTTTAGATTATTAGTTGATTCAAAACCAAATCTCTGCACCAACATCATAAGAATTGTAATAACTAAGGTGGAAAGGTCGAATGGAGGATTACTAATGGATCTTGAGAGTGAAAGGGTTTGGTCAGCTGCAAAATAATTATAGACACTTTGCATAAAGACAAGCATGATTATTATTGAAAGGTGATGTTATCCAGTGAATTACACAGGCATGCTAAGAGAAAAAGAATTCTGAGTGCTCCCAATAGGGATCTAAGCTACAACCTTTTGATAAGTACTCATCTTCTTTATTTCCATGATTATTTTTTTAAATGGATGCAAGTGAGCCCTCTTTGCAGCGCTTTTGGGAGAAAATACTGTTGTTTTTTGTGTTGACAAGGCAGAAAGGATAATTTAAATGTGAAGAAAAGAATAACAGTTGACCAGCCTGCAACCATTTGGAGGCAGCTCATAAGAAGATTGCTGTGACTGTGCTTTCTTTTTACAAAATGCAAAATAATGTTACTGACATTGGCCAATAGAGTGATGATGACATTGATGATGATAATAATAATGATGAAGATAATAATAGTGATAATGAAAATAATAATGATGAAGATAATAATAGTGATTATGATAATAATAACGATGAAGATAATAATAGCAATAATGATTTCAACAAACACTACCTGAGCAATATTGACAGCAGTTACAATAACAGTAGATACTTATGGTTGGGATTCTGACAACGATGATGATAATGTCAATTTGTTCCTAATATCTTATATATTGCATCCAAAATCTGAATTTTTTAAAATTTATTAATGTACAAAATTAGTGCATAGATGTTAACACTGGTTTAGAATCCCCAATTTTTTTGTTAACTTATTGCTGACCCCCTGTATTGTGTTCCCTCGAGCGTCTCCAAACTTTTACAAATATTTCTCCCTTTGAATATCTGCAATGCAGCTATTTACAGTGTTTTGATTGCATTAAACGTTTTCCCGTCTGGATTTGTTGTCAGGAAATGCTTTTCTACTGTAGCTGGTCAAAGTAATAATGAATGATTGAAAAAAATATATAATTAAAAGAATAGGAAGAC